GATTACGTGAATGTGAGCACGACTTCTGAATGCTGTAACGGTTACGATCAATTGTTGAATGACGACATTATTGCCGTAGATTGCAGCGCTAAGTACTTTAAATTTTACGCTCGAATACTGCAAGGCTAAATTTTAAGTCGCGGAAAACCTAGTGGGTAACCGGGACTCCGGCTCGACGTGCAGAAGAAGGAACGGGGTGGTTTATAGTCAGTAAGAGTCTGACACTCCCTCCCGCCTCACCCAGGCGGGAGCAGTCATTCGATGATTTTCCCCCATTAAAAAAAAGGCTAAATTTTAAGTACCTACTCAAATATCGTGCCACCTCTTACGTTTCATAAAGAATTTGTAGTGACAGGATTATACTTAAGTGTGATTTAAAATTTAGTGACGTTTGAGTATTTGGACATAAGACAAAGAAAAAGTTCGTTGGTGTATTTGCAAAGAATATTTTTGATTGGACTTAGGTGGGTTATTTATTATATAATATGTAAATTAGGTAGAGTACCTATGCACGGAAATTTACCTTAACAATTTAGGTACTGATTTTTCCTTAAACTTAGGACTATACTAGAGAGTAGATATTTAAAAATAAGTATAGAAAGTTGCAAAAATAAGATTGTGCCTACATAAGGAATAAAATAGAGTTTTCCTTAACCTGTTAAATATAGCATTATCATTATAATCAACAGCCTATAAGTAGCCACTGTTGACTAAATCCTCATCTCACACGGAGGATGAGCATTAATCGCCAAGCATGCTCAATGCGTGCTGGTTAATGCAATTTCAAACTTATAATTAGAATTATATAAGCCCAGGTTACCCCACGATGTTTTCCTTCACCGTTTGTCAGTGATGTCTAAATAATCTTAGAAAGTACCTACATGTAACTCGGAAAAAGTCACATTGTCGTTAGTATGTTTCGAACTTGCTAGCCTGTTCTGTAAGATGTCAATTCGATCTCTCGACTTGAGTTTGATTGCATTCTCGCGAATCATGGGTCGAGATTATTCTCACAACCAAAGACATGGCGGACTGCGATCGAGCCCACTTCGATAGTTCAAATTACCGATCCAGAATAGCTAATGTAGCTGCACTCTCAACTCTCATGCATGAGATAGCGGCCATCTTAAACCTCCGGACCACCCCGACCCTTTCGTTAAACATGATTATGTACAAATGAATGTTTATTTTTAAAGCATAAGCCGGTAAACGAGCAGACGGATCACCTGATCGTAAGCAATCGGCGCCGCCCATGGACACTCGAAACACCAAGGCGTTACAAGTGCGTTACCGGCCTTTTGGAAATTGGGAATTTGAGGATTGTGGAGGATTCGGGGAATCGGGAGACGGGGACTAGGGAGGCGGGTAATTGGGCCTCCGGTAACGTCACTCACACGACGAAGCAAGCGTTGTTTCACGTCGGTTTTCTGTGAGGCCGTGGTATCACTCCGGTCGAGTCAGCCAATTCGTGCCGAAGCATGACTCTCCCACACTTTCTAATACTTTAATCTTCTAAGTAAAGTTTAAATACTGCTATTTTTCCTTAAATTCCGGAATATAATGAGAACAAAAGATAAATCGTTACAGATATCGCTTCAGTGGTTTTCAATAAGCAACGGTACCTGGGATGACGTAATCAACAGACATTTTACTTTCAGCTGAAATAATTCGCTTTCGTTTAGTTTTTCAGAGACAGGTACCTACTAAGTATTGATTTAAATGAAAGTGTAACGAACGCTTTAGAATCGTCAATAAAAAATATTCATTGAATTTGATTTAATACTTTATTTAATTAAACAATAGTTTTATCTAATACTGAAAATGATGTAACATATCTTCACGCTCTTAAACCCAGAAGATAATCAGTAAATCACTCCTTTTTCACTAGATATTATTATGTTAATAGGGAGTGAGTGTAGGCTATGTGTGCAGGAAAATTAAAAAAAAAACTAAAAACATAATATATCGCCACCCAAGAATTGTAGAAGGATTACGCTTGCTAACACGAGAATTCTAGGCCAACGAGGTAATGTATGAAATTAATAGTTATGGACTGAATTTAAAATTCAATAGATACCTACACAAAAATTAATAATTTCATCAGTTCTGTACATTCTGTAATCAATAAAACATTTAATGACCCTGAAAACGTGAAAATATTATGTTGAAACGAAACCGAACTGTTAATTATAACATATTGTACTAGGTACCTACAATTACTTAGTTAATTATTTTTAACAAACTGCTCTTATCAAATATCGACTTCCGAAACAACATACTTTGTAATTCTGAATTTACATACAAAAGATATTATTCGATTTCACTGCCATGTCCTTGAAAAATAAAAAAAAAACTTAAAAAAATAGAAATTAGAATTAAAATGCGAAAGTACATACCTATGCGAAGTCTGTACTTATGTAGATATGTTATTCTTTCAGGTAAAAACTACTAAACTAATCTGAATGAAAGCAATATGTTAGGTAGGTATGTAGATTTCTGTGAAATAACACAGCATTGCTGCTTTTTATCCCCATAACGCGGACAAAGCTGCTGATAGAAACTAGTTATAAAAACTAAACTATGAAATAGATAAGCAACTAGTTATCAATACTCTTAAAATAACATAAGTTTATATAATATTCTCTGCACCGATAGTCCCGAGGCCAGCTAGGGGTCAAAGGTAAAAGACATTTTGGGGTTATGCTCCATACCCCCAAAGCGTTGGGTGGCATAGGGAGGCAGATCGATGACGCCACGTGCTTCGTCTGACGCAAGAACCGCTACTTTTCACGCGGGAAATATGCTTTTTAATAATTATTTGAAAATGGAATTTATTTATTTATGTTTTTTTTATATAAGAGTTTGTTTATTAATTGCTAAGATAGAAAGTTTTTAATGACATAAAAAATCTACTTTCTTTCAAATTTCTATTAAATGACTATTTCAGCGGCCTAACTTGGGAGTAATGTTAAAAATTAAATATTTCGCAGCGCTTTTCAGAGCTTTATCTCATTACATATTTGTGACGTAATTTCATCATCGTTATCATCAATCACGACCGCGCTGATGTAGTTTTTGTGTCTTATTTATTGGATTTTTTATCTATGAGGTTATAATAATGTGTAAATAGGTAATGTAGATAATAATACATAACAATATTGAAGATTCTGCTATTATTAGACATCGATTTCAGTAATTTTAAACGTAGGATTTCATTTTATTACCGGCTTCGTTTCTAATTATTTTTGAAGGTTATTGGGTAAAAATAAAAAGATAATCGCATTAATAATTTATTCAAGTCCATAAAAAGCGTAAAAGATATCTACCTCTTATAGGTAGAGAGCTGGCATGTATTTTGATAGGTGAGTTAGGAAAAAATAAATTAATAGGTACCTACCTATAAAATTTTACTACACGATTGATTTAATAAAATGGAAATATATTTTCTTTTACACATTTTCTAAGTGTGACCTTATTTAAATATTTCTTTGGTAACCCAATTTTTTTGAGCGCGTGTAGGACATAGGTAACTCAAAGTAGGTACCTAGTAGGCGCATAAATTGTCCTTAAAAATAATACATATCGCATAAATATTTAAATTGCTATAAAATTATGATTTTATTTGACAAATGTTACTTAAAAGGAAATGTCAAAGGTTAACACATTTTTATTATGGTAAAAACCGGAATTAAAACCCATATTAATAACGACACACGCTAATAAAAATAATACTTACATTTTGGTGTGTTAAAATTTTATTTTTAATTCACAAAATTAAAATACTTTTAAATGTCACTTCACTAAAACTATTTCCCGCGTTTTTCTGCCGAAGCGACTAAGCCCGCCAAGTCGGGCCGCGAGACTGCCGTGCGCCAAATATGAAAGAGACAGAAGGTCAATTCCGATAGGTGCAATAGAGATAACTGTATAGTATTGAACGCCTGTACGAGGGATGCAAAGGGGTTGGAGATCAGGCCGGCACGAGATATGAAAAAAATATGAAATTTGAATGATTGGGTTTTCATCCAGCTGTGCAGAATCTCAGTAAATCAGATAGGGTTCGAGTTGCACCGAGTTTAGCGCACCGAGTTAAATAGTGAAAGTGAAAGTATTATTTAAATTCATATATTTCACAGAAGTCTATGTTTCTCATTAAGATTTACAGCCCTTTTTTCAAATGGTCGAATTAAATAGGCGTCTGCCATACTTTCACAAGTCATGAGGGCTAATGTTATCTAACATCCTATTATCCGGAGAAATTCAAAAGTTCGCGGCAATAAAAAAATGAAATAAAAGAAACTATTTTTTTATTGTTGTAAAAACAAATTTTATCCGAATTAAATGATAATGCCTCGTTGACTGCCTCGTTGGCCGAGTTGACGCAAGTGCGACTGCCGGGCAAGGGGTCTCGGGTTCGATTCCAGGGTCGGGCGAAGTATTACTGGGTTTTTTAAAAATCTCAGTAGTAGCACGAAGTCTGGAAATGTGCCCGGTATATGGCAATAGGCTCACCCCCTATTACATGGGACTCATAACATAAATAGTGAAAAGTGGGTGTTACTTCTATGTGCACCTCTGCCTACCCCTTCGGGGATAAAAGGGGTGATGTCATGTTATGTTAAAATGATAATGATGCTCATAATCTCACGCTACCTATTGTCTCGCGGGGATAGACAACGGGTGCCACATAGCGCCACCTATGCACTTAACGTGACTTAACGCACGTATTATAATTTTATTTCTTTACTTCCAAACCTAACCATACTGCTTATTTAATTTTATTAAAAAAAAAAGAAAAACATAATCAAATCAAAAAAAAAATTCGAAACAAACAATATTGCGTTTCGAATTAATTTTATCTGTATCTAACCGCACGAACTTGAAATTGTCAAATGTCATGTCACGATGAGACGTTGCTAATGTCAACAAACAGCTGATAAGAGTATTGTTTTGTGCGGTACTGCCGTAATTTGGTTATTCAATAAAATAAATTAAATAAAATGAGTGAAGCGCCCAGACTTATCGTGCTTTACGGCAGCCAAACGTACACGGCTCAAGAAGTAGCAGAAAGAATATGGCGGAAAACGAAAGTTTTAGGATTTCGAGGGCCGGTTCAGGCAATGGACGAGTACCCAATAACTAGCCTTATTAAAGAGGAATTTGCTATATTCGTGTGTGCAACAACGGGACAGGGTGATGAGCCAGATAATATGAAGAAGTTCTGGAAGTTTCTGTTGCGAAAAAATCTACCTGCTACCTCTTTATTGAAGTTAAAATATGGAGTGCTTGGTCTCGGTGACTCGTCGTATTTGAAGTTCAATTTCGCTGGCAAGAAGCTACATAGGCGGTTGTTACAGTTAGGAGCAACACCATTATTAGATATAGGTAAGACTTAAATTATTACTTTGTTCAATTTTGTAAAATAAAAGAAATTGAAGGTATCAGAAGATGTCAGATAATAATATGCTTTAAGATTCTTATCAGAATTATTGTCCCATATTTGATTGATGCCTATTTATCAGATAATTTATCAGAGAAGAAATAGTAATATTGGAGATTAGTAATAATTTATGTTTTCTAAATAACAAATCTATGAATTTCTACTAATCTAAGTTCTATAATAATCTAAGTTTTTTAACACTAGAAAGACGGAAAAAGTCGTCTACCTACAAAGACGGCGAGCGGTCAAATGACTGCTCCAAGTTTTTTGATATTTTTTTATGTTTAAGTGCTAGAAATGGTACTTATAGTATTAAACATGGTATAATATATTGTTAATTAGGTAATATGTGTAGAATTTCTAATTTTATCATTTTGTTTACATTACAAAGGCCGCAAAGTGGCTTTTTGCAATTGTCGCATTCTTTATGGTTTTTGTATTTGCATTTGTGTATATAATATTTTGGAATTTACTGGATTTTGTGCAGAAGATTGTGAAATAAAAGATCTAGACTCTTCAGGCAAGGATTCAATTTCAGAGAGTCTTCTTCAATGTATACTTTGCTTCTAAGTTCGCCCCCTGAACTTAGTATAAATAGCCTTTGTTTCATGTAATATTCTACATTTTCCTATAGGTACCAAATGAAGGAATTATATCTAAAAAGGAAAATTATCTAAATTATGTTATATCTTTGCTAGGTCTCAAATATGAAAAAAAAAATGTATTTCACCTTTGAGATGCTCGTAACATTTTGACCAGTATTTGCAAAAAGTTTCACAAGTCGCATCTGTATCAACGGATTCATCGACATTTGACCACTTAGAGTAGATGCCATTTGAGGTGTGTACAAGAAATACAGTCGATAGTTGGGAAAGATCTTGATGCTCAGGATCTTTCAAACTCCTTTCACAGCCTTTATCACTACCACAGCAACGATTACAACCACGAGAACCCGACCTGTCAACGTCTGATAAATTTGCTCGAAGTATCTGGTCTCCAGGTCACTTCCGTCCGTAGAGGAATTCGAACTGACAAGTAGTACCACATAATCGTCGTCGCTATCATGTTTTGTATTTTTAGAGTCAAAATCAGACTCATCTTCACAAATATTTTGGAAGTAACAAACGGTTTTTCATTTTCAAGACTCCAACACGTTGCGACCACAAACTACTTTCAATAATTTCGTAAAAGTTCACAGACACTTGAAATGATACGGTCTCATTTGATAAACAAACTATAAACAATGAATTAGTGTATATAATTTGTATTCTACCCTCTCATATTACACTTATAAACACTCATTGGTTGTCAGCAGTCAAATGACTGCCGCCGTCTTTGTCGGTAGATCAAGATTTGAAATAATAAATAAAAGAGTTGTGATTTATTTTCATACATAGTTGCATTTAACTAGTAAAATAAATAAAAGTCACAAAGTCTCAGTTTAAAAACTCAAATAGATTTCAAGTTATTCAACATATAAAATCAAATTGCGGTCAAATGACTGCTCCCGTCTTTCTAGTGTTAAAGACTTTATATCTTTGATTCCTTTGTCTGTGATCAATATCATTCTAAAAAAGCATGATGACACAAACAAAATTGGAACCCTATAATCTGTAAATAAAAAAAATAAAAACATTTCATAGTATCTATATATTTCATTTTTTGTTTTTATTTTTCTTGTAGGACTATGTGACTACCAGCATGACTTGGGCCATGATGCAGTTTTGGCACCCTGGCTAAAGGAATATTTATCTATATTAAAGACATATTATCCAAAAATAGAGCCAGACAACATAAAAACCACTTTCATACCTCGATGGAAGGTATCTTTAGAAAAATGTGATGATAAAACCACAAATAAAAAAGATGGTTTGACGGAAGACATATATTTTGCTAAAGGCATAAGGGATAGCTTTGTTGATGCCACGCATTTCCAAGTTGTCAAAAATTATAGAACTACACATATTACACATTTTCAAGTAAGTATTAAAATATTGAAAGCCTTTCTAAGTTTTAAAATCATATTGGTATTTTTAAGTTAAAAATTGTTTAAATGATGCACACCATTCTGGCAATAGTCTCATCTCACATAGGGAAAATAGACTTAATAAAGGAGAATATACAAATATAATATATGATGTAAGTATTCATCTTTGCTACTTCCTTTAAAAGGAAGAATAAATATAATTATTGTTCCTTATTTTTTAGGATGTTCGAATGATTACACTCAAAACTACAGGTAATACCGTAGTTAAATACCAACCTGGAGATGTATTCAATATACGCCCTAGGAATAGTAAGGAGGATGTAGAAGATTTATTTAATATTTTCAAAGAGCACAACATTGATATACTACCTCATTACAATTTAGTAGTTGAAGAATGTCATGATGGTAAGTTTTTCTGGAAATATTTATATCTAACATTATTTTTATTTATAGAAGATTATTTTTATTAAATTTTCTATACCACACAGGCTACTGTAATATAAGATAGCAAAAATTAACAGTTTTGAACGAAATCTTCCTAAACCATTTCTAGACGAAACATTTTACGTTTTGTTTTAATTCATTCAACATAGTATTACTACAAACAAAAGCCTCATTTTAATACTAAAAATAGAACTTGTGTATTTTTTTAATATAGTTAGTAATTTCATGCACAAATATTCTTATTCTAATTTATACAATTTAATTTTCTAATTTGAACTAAAAAAAATTTTTCACAAATCACCCTGTACCAAAAGAAACAAAACGCGAAACGTCAACGTCAAAATAAACACGTGCGGAACTGTCAAGTCATTAAGTCAATTCCATAACGTCATTTGCATCTGAAACACGGCGTGTTGTTTTATCGAAATTACACAAATTATTTCACGTTAAATAACTTAGAATACAATAAAAGTTCAAAATGTTGCGGCGGCAGGCGCGTTTGCGCCGTGAATATTTGTACAGAAAGTCTGTGGAAGACAAACAGAAAAATATTCAAGCGAAAAAAGATCAACTAAAACGATCTTTGGAAGAAAACATTCCAATCCACGGAGATCTGAGGAAGGAAGCCCTTGCTTTACAGAAAAGAATAGACTTCGAAGATAAAGGTAAGATTTAATCCAATTATTTATTATTTATTGGTGTTTTGTTTACAAATGCTGTTATAACCTAAGTTTCAATGTTAATCAAAATAAAATGCTTTGGTCTTTGGTAATCCAAATGGCTACCATTACAAGCATTTATTAGTTTATTATTCTTGATCTATTTTATCGACACACCGATCTCTCAAGTATGGAAGACAGGGTATCATCTTTAAATAAAATAATACAACAATAAGTCTTCAGAATTTGAATAAAACCATCCCCGATTTTAGGTCCAGAAAGAGCAGCAGTAATAGGTGGTTTCAGTGGTGGCGCGAATACACAGAGCTCTCAAGATGATGAGTATAGATATGCTGGAGTTGAGGACCCGAAGATCATGATCACAACCTCACGAGAACCCAGTGCCAGGCTTAAAATGTTTGTTAAAGAACTTAGGTGAGTAGATTTTATTATCTTCTAAAATCTATCTTCAGAATCTTATTTCTTTTATAACAACCTCACTCAGGTTTTGTTAAGAATTTAAAATGTCAGTTTGCTATAAACATTAATTTTACAAGTTTAGGAATGTTGGAATCAGGCATGATTTGTTATAATCATCTCTCTGACACATTCAAAATCCTTTAGGCAGCAAGATGTTCATTATAATTTTAACTCTGTGAAAATTGTTGAAAATTATTATCCCTTAAATTTGTTCATACAAAAGTAGTCTCTAAAGATTGGAAATAAGGTATATAATGTAGTTAGTGGAGAGTGGTCACCGGTGACCGCGTGGGAATATACAGGTTAATTATGAAAAGGAGAATCTTCCAATCATCAGTTGTATGTTGTGAATTTCTATCAGTCCTAATTTGCATACAAAATTTGTTCTTGAATTTATTTTGTGTTCCTGTGTGATCATTAATTAACAAATTATATTCCAGGTTAATATTCCCAAACAGTCAACGTATGAACCGTGGTGGTTACGAGATGTCGCAACTGATACATGCGTGTAGAGCCAATGAGGTCACGGACTTCATTGTGGTGCATGAACATAGAGGTGTACCTGATAGCTTGGTGAGTATATTTTATTTATTTATGCCTTAAACTGTCAAACACCGCGAGGACACCGATGACCGCAACCTATTGTTCTTTAATTGTGTCTATAAATACGGTACTCGACGAGTTAAGAAACCGGGAAAATAATAAATGTACTAAATTACTTTAGCAGTTTTTAATCTATACTAATATGTATTATAAAACTGAAGAGTTTGTTTTTTTGTTTGTTTGAACTCGCTAATCTCCGAAACTACTGGTCCGATTTGAAAAATTATTTCTGTGGTGGATAGCCCATTTATCGAGTAAGGCTATAGGCTATAAAATATCACGCTACGATTAATAGGCGTCGAGCAGAGCGAGTGAAACCGCGCGGAAGTAGCTAGTTAAGCTAACTACAATTTAATCATCTCTTGTAATAATAATATTTTATTACTCAACACAGGCATGATACGAAATCCTAAAAGCATATTATGATAATGTTTCCTCTTCCAGGTAATCTGCCACTTACCCTACGGACCAACAGCATCGTTCACTCTCTCTGGAGTAGTGATGCGGCATGACATCCCAGACATTGGGCCCATGAGCGAGCAGTTCCCACACCTCATCTTCCATAACTTTAAGACTGATCTTGGTGAGTTTACTTATTATTAATTTAGGAGTTTAGAAATTAAGGATGTATTTATATGGGCACAATATATGAGCGACATAGTTTATTTATTAATGCCTATTTAGTCAATATCGTAAAGTTTCTGATAACTCCAAGTTCAATGCATTTTTTTTACCCTTCGCATTTCTTTCGTTGCTCCACGAAAATGCCACATGGAGAAAAAGTATTACAATTCGCATTTAAAAGTATCATCAAGACAATTTCATTGTACCTAAGAAAACTTCATTATATTTTCAAAAACAATTAATAGTGTAAGTCAGTAAGTCTATGCTGGTACCTACTTCACATTTTCGAAAACCGAAAATCTCAATAATATTATCCCAAACTTGGAATTATTACGTAACATAGTAAATATATTTAAACTTATAATTTTACTCCACAGGTCTAAGAACAATGAGCATACTGAAGTATTTGTTCCCGGTGCCGAAACCTGACTCTAAAAGAGTAATCACATTCGCAAACAATGATGACTACATCTGTTTTAGACAACACACGTATAAGAAGGTACGTTTTTATTAAGTAGTGCAGTGCAATATGCATTTTGATTATGTATTTACATATTACGCAATGTTTTCCCGAGTTTGGTTCTTGGAACAAAGATTAAGGACTAATTATTATGTTTGCGGCTTACTCACGTAACGTTTCAAGCCATGCTAGAGGCTCATATTCATGAGCAGCATTTTGCAACACGCGACGCGGCCACTGTCGCGCCGTTACTGGGTCGCCGCGTTGCGGCTTGAAACTAATCGAGTTCCTCGTCAATCAGTTACGTGAGTAAGTCGCAAACATAATAATGAATTGAATATGTCTCACGAAAGTTTTAATATAAACTAAGCCAATTTGGCTTAAAATTGACCAAATCAAAATGTCCACCAATGTTAATACTTTGCCTGGCAAGAGAATCGAAACCACAACCTCCGAAGTTGAATAAAAGTCATACAAATTTTACACTATTACGAAATAAAAATAATAATTTCACTCCTTTTACAGGCCGGCAAAGACATAGAACTATCAGAAATTGGACCTAGATTCCAGATGAAGCTCTATGAGATAAAGTTAGGTACCCTGGATGCCCTGGACGCCGCCGACACAGAATGGGCGCTCCGCCCCTACATGAACACTGCTGCCAAACGAAGGTTCTTGAGCAATGAGGACGGGTGGCAAGAGGAGGAATAAATAAATAATATATATTTTTATAATCCGCTGTTTTTTTTGGTGCCTTCTCTAACCTTTATCAAATTATTTAAACTTTATATGGTCAGCATCAAAACTTGATGAATACATTTAGATTTCTAAAACCGCTGTACACCGTTATACCTAAATCGGTGAACATAATAAGCACTTTAAATGCAACACAATATTCTGTGCGTTTGTCATGTTGATCGATTCATTTAATACGCTGTACGTACAGCGATTTTGAGAATCTAAATGTGTTCATCAACTTCAATGCTGACTGTACATAAGAATGTTGCCAGCCAACCTTTACGTAAAGCAACACCAGAAGAAGAAGCATGTTTAAATGGATATCTTCTTACGGATTACAGACTCAATATAGGTTTAGCTTCTTGCACTTATATTTGTGCCATGTTACTCTAGAAATCTGAACCTTTACAGTCCCCATTCCTTACACCAATACGTGACTCCAGTTCATAGTATATTTCTTCTTTACAACTTACTTTAGGTTTAGCCTGTGTGGTATAGGTACAGATCCACAGGGATTTTTCGAGCAAGGAAATAAGGCTTAGGTACCAAAAATGAAACTATCTTAAGTTACTTACACATATATGTATCTGAATTTTAGCTATAAGCATACAGCTTAAGGACCCATGACCCCTAATTAATTACTGATTTTAATCCATCTATTCTTTATAGACATGCCCGTCCCTCCGTTCCTAAAACAACCCCACACTTTATATGAAATAGCCGAACAATACTGGGACCTGCGCAGTTACCCGACACAATATGTCTTCTCTCTTCTCGCACAAGTGTCCGAGGATAAGTTAGAAAGAGAGAAGTGTATAGAGCTCAGCTCCCCTGAGGGACAGGAGGACTGGCTTAATTATTGTAGAAGGCCCAAGAGGACTGTATTGGAGGTGAGATATTTAATGGGAATATTTGTTGATTTACTAGACCAATAAATATTCTCGTCTAAATTAATATTTTGTTGTATTTGTAAAAGTGAAAATTTAAGCTGTTGGAATTGAAATCATGAATTAATAATGCCTAGTTTAGAAATAAGTACCTAAACTGGTATATTAGTTTAAAACTCATATGTATGAGTAGATGGTTTGTTATGTATGTTGTTATTTTTTATGGGATAAGCCGGCAAACGAAGGAACACCAGAGGCGTTACAAGTGCGTTACCCAGGTAGACTTGGGTAGTTCGTGAACGAAAGACAAAAATGAACTAGTTCATTAGGAAAGCAGCAACTTATCTTTCGTTCAGTTTCATACAGACTGTATCTCTAGTTCACTAGTTCACTTGGTGATTCGCATCTCATTTTGACTCAAGAACTACTACCGAACGACGCGACGATTGCTCGTTTCGTTTCTGAATTGAACAAAAAAGAACTACCGAACTAAATGAATCAAGACACCGACAAAAACCGATCCCGCGCCGATCGGGCGCCTATCGGCTGTCTTGTTTTTATTTACGAAATGATGTGAGACAATAGATATGGATCGCTTGCGTTGCTGAACAAGCAATAATATACTTTACGTAACAAACAATACGGTACCGTTTTCCATAATTTTGTCCAGATGACTTATCTTTTAACAAGTATAGAAACCAATATCTGTTGACCTCGAATCATATAAGCGTACCATACAATGATAGGTCATTTTATACTGGTCAAAATTGAACTAGATGAACTAGTGAACTAGATGAAAGACATAGTTCGTAGGACGAGAAAGATACGTATCTCTCTTTTCATCTTATTGAACTATTATTCGCAACTCTATACCCAGGCCAGATTTCACAAAAACATTTCCTGCTGGGGTAACGTTACCCCAGCCAGCCACCTTTTTTTTCTAATGGGAATATTTAAATAGTTACTATAGTCAGAATTTTAATTAGATTCCAGATTTGACAATAGCTACTGTCATTTTGTGAAATAATGATACCACATATAATAGTGTAGTGATGCACACAAAAATCGATAAACAATCAGTGTGTGTGTTTTATAATAAATGTTACAGAAAGTGACAGGATAGCGATAGCGATGACGGCGACAATTTATAAAATAACTTATTACCATAATACATCTATCGGTTTTATTTGTCATGTTCCTTCATGATTACATTTTTTTATTTATTTTACACACAATTATAAAAGAAACGTCTCAGATCGTTAATTAATCGTCAAAACTAAATTATCGGTTCAGAAATATTTAATTTCCTGATGTACTTAGTTCACGAGAGTAAAATTATAATTATTATAAACGAGAAGAATCGATCCAGAAATATTGCATTTCCATATCGAATAATTTCACAACGCCACTATTTAGTACTTGTCATAACGTTGCCACACTGAAATTGTCAAATCTGGAATCGAATTAAAATTCCGAGTATAGCTATAAAATGAGTTGTCTAAATGAAGTAAATGCTGTGCCTTGTTTTGTATTTATTCTTTCATCAGTTGCGAAGTTATTCGAGATTCTGCTGGGGTAACGTTTTTGGTTTTATATAAGGCACAACATTTACTTCATCTAGACAACAAATATAGCTAGTAATTATTTAAATATTCACATTAGAAAGACAAAGGTCTGGCTGGGGTATCGTTACCCCAGCAAGAAATTATAAAAAAACTATAAGCGCAACAAATCTAAAAATGTGTGCAACAATTACAGAAGCCGCAAAACTAATTATCTCTAAGATTCAAACGACCATTTTCGACACCTGGCCTGGGTAACGCACACTGCGTTACCGGCCTTTTGGGATTAGGAATTTGAGAATATTGGAGATTCAGGGAATGGGGGGGGGGGTAATTGGGCCGCCTCCGGTAACCTCACCACACGACATTAAATAACGCAAGCGTTTTTTAACGTCGGTCTTCTATGAGGTCGTGGTATCACTCCGGTCGAGCCTTCCCATTCGTATCCAAACATGGCTCTCCCACATTTACATTATGGTTTTATACAAGTAATCAGACTTTATTGTCCCAAAGAGTATGGTAGCCTTATTGTAGCACCCAAATTTTACTATTTAATTATGTCGTAAGCCCTTTTTTGCCCAGGAGCCCTTTACATACTTCAAGTACAATTCCATTCTATACACCACACTATTCTATACTCAAATCATGTTCTCGAAGCGATTCGGGTAGCCAATAAACTGTATTACTATTATGGACATTTAACAACATATTCTTTTCGCAGGTCCTACACGACTTCCACAAGTCCGCATCGAAGTTGACATTAGAAGTTGTTTTTGAGTTATTTTCCACCATCAAACCGCGGTCGTTCTCCATCGCAAGCAGTTGCTTACCATCAGGGGGTAGAGACATAGACCTATTAGTAGCTGTTGTTAATTATAAAACGAAGTTATTGAAGCCACGACTCGGTCTAGCCTCAAACTGGCTAAAAGATTTGAAGATCAGTGATAAAGTGTTTGGATGGATCAAACCTGGAACCCTTGTGTTTCCTAAAGATTCTGTGAGTGATCTTTTATTTCATTGTATCTATTTTCCGTCCCTAATCATAGCAATTCTTGTAAGTCTAGATCATGGCTTATGGATAAAAAAATAAAGGATGGTGGGCAAAAAGTATGTAACCTCGACCTAATAAAACATGTTCATAAATAGTGAACCCTTGGACAGCGCGTTGGTGAACCAGGGCTGTGATACCTTCCAAACAGAAGTAGTCAGAGCTGTGGCGAAGCTGGGTGTATTTTGCCAACTGTCCTTAGAAGATAACTTCCATTGGAAGAGAAACAATAGACATAGTATTGGGATTTTAAATAAAATACTCAACTGTAACAATAAAAGTATATTAGACTGTGCCGTTGCACAGTACAATGGTGCGCGGGTGGTACCACGCGCGCCGGCAGACATATTTCTTTTCGGCCACAGGCAGCGCGCCGAGCAAAAGCGTACACACATCAATATCGCGAGTACTCAACCATCATACCATTGTACAGTGCCGTTTGTAATATACTAGTTTTATATAAACTATTTATATAATCTGCTAAGTTTTGATTTCACGCATGACGTAACTAGCAAAGAGTGGAAGTATATTGGCAATTTATCACCTATTTATTTAAATTTTCAGTCGACACCCCACATCATGATAGGCCCCGGTACAGGTCTAGCCCCCTTCCGAAGTCTCCTACAAGAGAGAGAGAAGCTACAAACTGCAAAAAAGGATGCTCTACACTTAATATTCGGATGTCGGTACAAAGAGAAAGACTTCCACTGCAGAGAGGATCTGGAGAGAATGGTGAAACAGGACAAGTTAACTCTGTATTGTGCTTTCTCTAGAGACCAGGAGGAGAAAGTGTGAGTACATTTTTTAAGAAATATCATTGTGGTAATCACGCTGAACCATCGTATGCCAATAATGGTGTGCGTTACCCAGGCCAGATGTTGTCGAAAATGGTCATTTGAATTTTGAATCTTAGATATAATTAGTTGTGCGGCTTCTGTAATTGATGCGCACATTTTTAAATTTGTTGCGCTTATAGTTTTTTAATTATTTCACAAAACATTTCCTGCTGGGGTAACGTTACCCCAGCCAGACCTTTTTCTTTCTAATGGGAATATTTAAATAATTACTAGCTATAAAATTAGTTGACTAGATGAAGTAAATGTTGTGCCTTATTAACCGACTTCATTTTGTATTTGTTCTTTTATCGGTTGCGAAGTTATTCGAAATTCTGCTGGGGTAACGTTTTTGGTTTTACTAGATCTTTGAAATAGTTGAGCCGATTCTTATCATATTTTGTACATGGTTTCTTAGGAATTAGTTTAAATTTGTTCTGCAGTATAACAACCAAAATTATACATGGCTCAAGGGTTATTTCATTAAATATAAATAGATAAACATTTCAATTGGTCCCAGCACTCTCAATAAGAAGTCTACAGACTTACTTTAAACGTTATTTTAAAGCTTGTAACTGCCTTCAAATGTATTCTTTTGGTTATTTATTACAGAACAAATTTAAACTAATTCCTAAGAAGCCATTTGCAAATTGTGATAAGAATCCGCTCTAGCAAAATCGGAAACGTTACCCCAGTAAAATTTCGAATAACTTCGCACCCGATGAAAGAACAAATACAAAATAAGGCACAACATTTACTTCATCTAGTCAACAAATTTTATAGGTAGTAATTATTTAAATATTCCCATTAGGAAGAAAAAGGTCTGGCTGGGGTAACGTTACCCCAGCAGGAAATGTTTTTGTAAAATAATTAAAAACTGTAAGTACAATAAATTTAAAAATGTGCGCAACTAATTATCTATAAGATTCAAATGACCATTTTCGACATCTGGCCTGGGTAAACGCACACGCAATAATTGGTTTGATCTATGGGATTTTTTTAATAGAAATGTAGTTATATTCTGAAGTGGATTGTTATAATTACGGAAGTAACGATAGTTTAGTCTCTATTGAAAAGGAATTGATAATAATAACTTTTGTTTTTCTCTTTGGGCAGAGCTCATATACTGAAATAGTTCAGTAGTCTATAGTAGGTACTAACAACATAATAAATACCCCATTATCCTTTCAGATACGTCCAACACAAAATATCAGAAAACAAAGATCTGTTGTGGCAGTTAATATCCAATAAAGCTTACATCTACATATCTGGTAACGCCAAGAATATGCCTGACAATGTCAGAGAGGCCTTTATAGAAGATGTTTTGAGCAAGACCGGAGGACAAACTATTGAAGAAGCCAAGACTATGCTGAAAGAGTTGGAGAATAGTGGACGGTTTCAAGTTGAGGCCTGGTGATGTAATAATGCTATTATTTTGAATTTTTTGACCCCATTCGGACCGCCACGGTTTGGTGTAGCTGGCTAATATTGTTTACAAAATGGTAATAATATAGTTGTAACTTACTTTCTTTTTTATATTTTCTTTTTCTTACTTTTTTTGAGGTATTTCTTCTATCACTAAATAAAATAATTAGACAATAAATTAAATTGTTGTCCATGTCATATACGAATTAACTTTAGTTGCTTTTGAACCAACATAATATTAAATAATAATATTAATAACGGTTTCTTTGATTTTCATCGATTCTAATGGAAACTAATGTATTTACTAAATATGTTTGTCTTTAATAATTTCTCGTTGTCAGCCATTGCACTATACCGTGGTGATCCTAGGTAAAAAAACAATTTATTTTTATTTATAAAAATCTGATTTTGTCAAACTAATTAATTATTATAATAATTTTAATTATTGAGCAGTGTTACTGCATGACGTCACAAATTGTTCTTTATTAATTTAATAAGAGGTATGACCTCACCTCAGGCCTAAAACATCACATAGAAAATTAGACATTATTGACATAGAAATTAAATTTAAAATCAGGTGTAGGTAATATTCGACTCGAATAAAAATTGTATATTTAGTACCTTATGTATAGGTAATGTATATTATGTGCTTTTTAATATAATAAAAAGGTAACTGTGATAAATTATTGAATAAAATCACAACACAATTTTAAATCTTGTTTTATTTTTATTATCTTAAATATATTTACATCCGTAGGAAAGTACCCATAGTATTAAAAATAAGTTCAGCATATAAACTCCTTATTTCACATAACTACTTGGACCTGCACACAATTTTATACAGTCAAAGAGAAATAATCTATGTTTACATCACAAAAACGTACGAAATTACAACAAAATTTATTTTTTAAACAACTACATTACAAAAAGAAATCCTTTCATCATCATATCAGCCACAAGACAACTGCCTCAAATAGGCGTCCCCCAATGACTTTCAGAGAGCTTACTCTTGAATCCAATTTCAATCGATCGAAATTGGTATTGTAAAATTTCGTTCTCGTGAGTTGCAACACTAGCGCCTATTGCATCCGTATTGTTTAGATATTGGACGAACTAAATGGTATTGAATTTAGCTTTACATTCCATAGTCTAAACTCTAAATATTGAGGTTGTATAGTTTTGACATTTATCAATAATTATTGAGGTTTTACTATTGGATTGAAATTGCATTGAGATTGGTTTTAGGAGTAAGTACCCTGATCCTGTTGGAAGCAACCTGTACCCAGCGGCTCCTGGACAATTTCAGGGCCGTAAATGCTAACTGTTATATTAACTTATATGTACTATACTGATAATACAGCCTAACAAAACCATTCTCAACTCAAAATCTTCAGATTTAGGTCTATTTTAATTTCTCTATAAGATCTTAATTACGATTTCAGCTTACATTAACTAATGAAACAAAGCTCTACTAGTTACAAGCTGACTGGCTGCGCGACAACGTCAAACGGTGCTCATGTATAAGAGTCCCGTTGTGAGTTGGACACTAGTTGAGCTTTACTCGTAAGCCGTATATTTCGATTAAATCAGGGATGTTAGGGAGCTCCGTAACCGTAACCGAATCCGAAATAAAAGTTTCGGATACTGTCGGATAGGGGCGTGACGTAAAAATCAAACAATTACTTTTGAAATTTCTTAAAATTTTAATATCCATAACCGAAATTATCCGTTAGTTTCGGATAATTTCTATATCCATATCCGTAATTTCATATCCATAACATCCCTAAATTAAAAAGCTACATATTTTTATAGTCGAAATTAATAAATTGATTATGAACTTCGGCCAATAGTTAAGCAAGTTCCATATTACTATATATCTAGCTGGAGTTAGGCAGTCCCCATAGTTTGAGGTTCCCAGCATCCCGCTTCCTCTCCGGCGGCTCCTTGTCTTCACACGCGAAGGCGACCAGGTAGCGAGACGGGTGCCAAGCTACTGTGAATGTTGATGCTTGTACTGGGATCTCTGCTACTTTCTCTCCTGCAAGGGAATATACGCTATAATAGTCTTTTTGTTGGGTAAAGGGTTAATTTTTATTTTAGGTACTGTTAACCTATAGGCTACGTCAGCGTCATCGTAACCCAAACTTATTTATCTAATTTTGTCATTTACAATCATTTGCCAGACTATGAGCAAATTAGTCGAAGGCCAAATGACGTTTGGAGTGAGTACAGGCATTCATCTGCAAACGCCGCTCAGGAAGCACAACAACAATTTTTAATCTCTTGGCAGGCACAGATGACACTAACTGACTTTAAGTGATTACGGACCAATTTAAGTGACAAAAGACAAAGTGCTGGGAACAATTTAAGGGTTTTTCTATTTAATGAAATAACTTTTAACCTATTTATTATTTTGGTTTTTTTATTGCACAACAAATTTGAACTAATTAATAAGAAGCCATGTACCAAATATGATAACTATCCGCTTGACCATTTCAAAGATCTAGCAAAATCAAAAACGTTACCCCAGCAAAATCTCGAATAACTTCGCAACCGATGAAAGAACAAATACAAAACAGGGCACAACATTTACTTCATCTAGACAACTAATTTTATAGCTAGTAAAGTAATTATTTAAATATTCCCATTAGAAAGAAAATGGTCTGGCTGGGGTAACGTTATCCCAGCAGGAAATAATTTTGTGAAATAATTAAAAAACTATAAGCGCAACAAAGGTAATGGCCCATTTAGTGTGAAGAATATACCCACGGCGTACAGAAATAAAATATGGCGGGAATCAAAGACAAATGATTATACTTTTCAATGATAAGTGGCGCATTGCTGTGGCTCATGGGGGTCATGAAAGAATAATAATAAAAAAAATGTAATCTACCTAATATGAAAACTTAACTTATAACTTGTGGTTTTAGGGAGGAGAAAATAAAATACATTTTTTTTAATGTTTATTCAGCCTCATCAATGTCTAAAACATTGTCCAAGAAAGCCGCAGGTGATTCAATATTTTCTTGATGTCTGGCCCAGGATAAAAAGTACACTATGCTCACAATATGGGCACAACTTCCTATAGTGCGGAGGCCGTGAATGCATAAGCAGTAGTATCCCTCGATACTCTCTCGGAATATATAATATAGAAACACGGAGAAAGCACAGATCACAACGACGAATGACAAAGGACTGCAAAGGGTGAGGTCAGGGAGGCGCCGCCGATGTTTTTCTACCTGCTGTGGATGTGTGCATTATATTTTTGCGTGAGCGCAACAAAGCTGGTTATCAACACGGGTAAGACAGAGACAGCAATATACGTGTATTATATTACCTGACCGAACGAGTTTGCTTTATGTGTGATGATATTTTTATTTAACAAAACAATGGCAAAATAAGTTTGTTTGTTTCATTTTCAAGTCTAAACCACTGTACCGATTTTGATTAAATTGCTGTGTATAGATATATTTTTTGATTTAGAGTCGGACATAGTATACTTTTTACCCAAGTGACATGTTTCCAAGGATAAAATAATTTACAGACTGGCGAAACCGCTAATTATTATCCAATTTTTATTGATCTGCTGCAAGATTTCTCCAACGAATTGTTTTTTTCTTTTTACATATAATGAAAAGTGGATTATACTTGCATTATTTACCACCATTTTCGTTTTTGTACAAAAACATTTCTGAACCGGGTCGGATTATGGGCCATGACCTTTAAAAATGTGCGCAACAATTACAGAAGCTGCACAACTAATTATCTATAAGATTCAAATGACCATTTTCGACAACTTCTGGCCTGGGTAATGCACACGAATGTGTTTTGTAGCTTGATCAAAAAATAACTTATTTAAACGACGGTAACTGATGTAGTTAGACTGTCAACGATGACTGATTTGGGTATGGAAATACAAAAAGTAGCTCGATTTTGTTGATGAAAGTAGAAAAGGTACATAATGTGTTACCGTCAAAAGTGATCTTTCCTTATACATTTAGAGTTATAAATAGACAGTTTCTCAATATTGGAAGATTGAAAAGTGTAGCCAATGTCCTGATAATAATTAATTTACCTGTCTCCGTGTCTCCTATGTCGATGATGTGGTCTTCGCTGGCCGACGCAAGCAGTCTGCCGTCGAAACTGAACGATAAAGTGCGCACCGGCCATTCTAGTCTGTAAATAACACGACATATATTTAGATACAAAGGAAAAACAGTGTGAAATGTTTTTCTAGCCTGTTTAGGAAATATTTAATTAGGTTTGCAATTCGACGCAAAAATATAAGACACGATACGTTTCTAAGAGAACTGCTTTCTGTATCAGGCCCATCCGCCTAACGCCAGCCTTCGAAGATGGATGATTCGTCTTTTAGGGATTAACCATTGACCGAGACGACTATCCGACTATCGACACAATGGCAGCCAAATCCACACTCCACATATCGACAACCTCGTGAGCTAAGTCTAGATATTTTATTTGTTTATCTTTCTCAGCTATCACGAAGGTCTCGTCATGGTGTGCGTTACCCAGGCCAGATGTTGTCGACAATGGTCATTTGAATATTATAGATAATTAGTTGTGCGGCTTCTGTAATTGTTGCGCACATTTTTAGATTTGTTGCGCTTATAGTTTTTTAATTATTTCACAAAAACATTTCCTGCTGGGGTAACGTTACCCCAGCCAGACCATTTTCTTTCTAATAGGAATATTTAAATAATTACTAGCTATAAATTAGTTGTCTAGATGAAGTAAATCAATGAAGTAAACATATTTTAGAAGATACCATATTGTTCAGCGTTTTCGCTTTTTCGTAACCAACTAAACTTGGTCGGGTTACCACGGTCATTCTCTTCCTAATGACTTTAATCGTATTATCTCATTAATTATCCAATGTACTGAGCTGAAATTTTACCGATATATAACTGAACTAAACAAATAATTATTGACATTACATTTAGTTCATATATCCAATCAAGTGGCCAAATAACACCGCGCGTATCAAGACCGTGCTCGTGAGGAACTCAATATCATCATAACTTGTTCAATACTTATAGGATACTTATGAAACTTCACATACATTTGAAGGCAGTTACAAGCTTTAAGTCTTTAGAGTTCTTATTGAGAGTACTGGGACCAATTGAAGTGTTTTTCTATTTAATGAAATAACCTTTAAGCTATTTATTATTTTGGTTTTTTTATTGTACAATAAATTTGAACTAATTCCTAAGAAGCCATGTACCGAATATGATAAGAATCCGCATCCGAATGAAAGTTTTTGATTTTGCTAGATATTTGAAATGGTTAACATTTCAAATATCTAGCAAAATCAAAAACTTTACCCCAGTAAAAAATTGAATAACTTCGCAACCGATGAAAGAACAAATACAAAACAAGGAACAACATTTACTTCACCTAGACAACTAATTTTATAGCTAGTAATTATTTAAATATTCCAGTTAGAAAGAAAAAAGTCTGGCTGGGGTAACGTTACCCCAGCAGGAAATGGTTTGTGAAATAATTAAAAAACTATAAGGGCAACAAATTTAAAAATGTGCGCAACAATTACAGAAGCCGCACAACTAATTATCTATAAGATTCAATTGACCATTTTCGACAACATCTGGCCTGGGTAACGCACACCTCGTCATGGGGTATTGTGGCATCGATTACCATCGTGCGACGCTCTTGTCGGTCTATCACCACCATGTCAAACCATTTATTCTATTATTATTATTGTTTGTTTGTCACTCCAATATTCAGCATGCAATAATTTTTACTTTAGTTATAGATCATTTTATCTCACCTAGAGAATACTCTCAGACAGGCGAGCTCATTAACATCCCACAAGGAGACGAGGGCGTCAGCGGAGCCCGTGGCGAAGTACCGGCCGGTGGGGTCATGTTCTATACAGATACACGTGCCCGGGTGCGCCTTTAATACTGTCTGTAGTTCTAGAGAGGGGTACCTGCAAAGAACAATATTAATTCTTTAAATAATTTGCAAAAAATTTGATAACATTTTTTAGTACAACAGTTCAATTTGCCTTGTGGAATATAAGACCCTTAAAAGACTTATAACCTAGCGGACCCAACAGACATTGTCCTGCATATCCACTTGAATGTATAAACAAAAATTCATTTAAATTAGTTCAGCTGTTTAGAATAAATAACCTAAACATCGACTGCAGCGCCATCTGCCGGGCTGATTTGTGAATCTAAAACATTCCCAGATCCCCTTGAACACACACAAAAAATTTCATCAAAATAGGTGCAGTCGTTTGAGAGAAGTTCAGTGACATACACACTCACAGAAGAATTATACATATATATAAAGATGATTACCAAGCTATTTGTGCCTGTGACTGTCAATTTCTAATCTAACCGACTTCAACAAAAGGCGGCTCTCAGTTTGACCTGTATGTATGTATGTTTGTGCGCGAAGATTATCTCGCGATTGGCTGAAGCTATTTTGACGCGGTTTTCAGGAAAGTGTTTGTTACATTCAGGACAATGTTTTAGTGCATTCATTAACAGAGTTTAGAAAAAGAGGTGATTGAAGTTGTTTTTTTTTAAACGTAGTTTATACAAGAATTATTGAGGAGGTACTAGGGCCTCGTTGGCCGAGTGGTCGTAAGTCCGACTGCCGGGCAAGGGGTCTCGGGTTCGATTCCCGGGTCGGGCAAAGTATTACTGGGTTTTTAAATATTCTCAGTAGTAGCACGGAGTCTGGAATTGTGCCCGGTATATGGCAATAGGCTGACCCCCTATTACGCGTAATGTTATGTATGTATGTATGTATACTAGGGGCGTGTGGCATTTTTACCGTGTAAAAACAGTGGCCACCCCTCAGCACCTGAAAGGGGCACCAGGTCCTTGGCTGAACCGATATTAATGTACTTTTCAGAAAAGTGTTTGTCTCTTAGGAGAAGGTTTTTAGTATATTAAGGCTTTGACTGTCAATACAAAACTGCTAAAGTCGGTCATCAGTAACCCCCACGGCGTTTAATGTGTTAATTATAAGTTCAAAACAAGAAGGGGTCAGAAGTCAGTTTTTGTAAACATAGTTTATAAAAGAATTATCATCCAGAACTGTAGCAAATTACTGCAAGAAAGAATGATAAATATCTATATATCCTGACATACTTTCACATCTATATATAAACAAAAGAAAGTCGTATTAGTTACACCACTTATAACTCAAGAATGGCTGAATAGATTTGGCTGAAAATTGGTAGGGAGGTAGCTTAGAGCCAGGAGACCGACATAGGATACTTTTTGACCAAAATTTTTTTTTTACTTTTTACCGAAAATCACGAACGGGGACGGGAAAAAATGGGATTACGCGTACGAAGTCGCGGGCAGAAGCTAGTTTTATTATATTAGCAAATGAATAAGAGTAATAAAATAACTTACGACAATATATGCACGCAGCCCAGTCCGTTAGTCAGGAAGAACAGGTCTGATGTGTTGTTCCATGAGATCTCATTCACTTCAAAGTTGAACTGCTCCTCTACCACCTGTAGGAAAAGGACAACGGTTCTGACATCATAAATTCTTTAATTCAATATTACAATGATGAGCTTAGCTAATTATTGTAGTTTATTTCTGAATTTCTGCTCTCATTGCCTCATTGGCCTCGGGTTCGATTCCCAGGTCGGGCAAAGTATTACTGGGTTTTTCATAAAATTCACAGTAGTAGCACGGAGTTTGGAATTGTGCCCGGTATATGGCAATAGGCTCACCCCCAATTACATGGGACTCATAACATAAATAGTGAAAAAGTGGGTGTTACATTGTACAGTGGCATAATGTACACCTCTGCCTACCCCTTCGAGGATAAAAGGCGTGATGTTATGTTATTTCTGAATTTGTCATAAAGAACTTAGAAAAATAATTTGTAACTAATAATATACAGGGTGTCCCTGAAGCCGACGGTCAAATGGCACTAGGAAATTGGCAAAGTTTTAAGATTTAAAAAAAAATCCAAGTCATATAGTTTTTAAATTACAGTGACTATGTGTTACGCATGAAAAATTTCACGCTGTGCCTGTGCCTTTTCTCTCTTGCTGCTACAATTCTTTATTTTCTCATCTGTATTTTTGATTATGTTATCCTGAATAGTGCTGCAGTATTATGGAATCATAAATTCTGAGCCAACTGCTTTAGTTTGGAAAAGAATGACATTTTTTGACGATCAAGTATTGTCAGTAAAATTTTAAAATTTAAGTGACTGTACTGAAAAAAATTGTTCTGCGGTAGTAGTGGCAAATTTCACCAAAGTTGGCGTATTTATTGTGGATTCTAAAATGGTATAGCACTCTCTGGATTATTTCTTAAGTTCGACACAAAACAATATTTTTCAGCAGAACTATGTTTCAAACAATTTACTTGGACTTAATTAAGTTCATTTTGGTACAAATGTCCCAAAATCCATTGTACTTTTTTGTTAGTAATACATATTGCAGGGTAAAGCTAGTAAGAGTTTACTTACAACTTTATAAGTCCTAGTGTCTATAAATGAAACTAGATCCTCCTTGTTGCCAACTGCAATAGTGCTGCCGTTCGGCGACCAAGCAATGTTGATGTTCTCTCCTTTTGTGGCTATTGTTGCTGCACATTTATGTGTTCTGTGTAACCAAAATAAACGACTCAAGAGACTGTATAAATAAATAAATAAAATAAAAATATGTTCAACAAAAACAAACTTATCTAAATATGAAAAGCAGGTCTAGTAAACACTTTAATAGAAGTGAAATTAATGATGAACAATACTGTCTATTCCAATCTGCCTTGAGCAAGTGTTATGAGTATTGCCTCTGCTTATGAGAAAGAGGTATTTGCTCAGCAGTCGACACTTAAAGGCTGTTAATGATGATGATAATGCATGCCCTCAGATTTTAATGTATACTGACAAATAAACAAAAGCTCATGATTCACCTTGTATCCCAAATCCTCACAGATTTATCTCCACTAGCTGTACTTAGCAAGTCAGGATGTGAGGCATGCCAACACAGTTGATCAACAGAACCAGTATGGCCTTTGAATATGTAGTCTTGTACCTAAAACAATAATATTATTAAACCTTCTTCTACAATTCATTACAAGGCTCTACACTAGATCACCTTTGCTTGACTAAAAACAACACGACGACATAAACATAACCTAAAAATTTGTAAACAAATTTTCAAACTTACCAATCTATTTCTTTCCAGCGTAAATGTAGCCACACTCTTATCAAATGAACCCGATGCTAGTTTTCTGCCATCACAAGACCACCCAACAGAGTGCACTTTAGAAGAATGGGCTATGTATTCGCGAACTAGATTATGCGAAGCGAAATAACTTCGTAATTCTGCTAAATCTTCTATCGGAGTTTGTGTATGTTTAGGATCTTTCATTTTGGATAAATCTATTGTGTTACGATGTATTATAGAATTTTAGCGGCAACAAAAGTCCACAACAACAGCAAAGCTACAACACAACCTGTCACCGCTGCAATTTTGAAATCGAAACTGACAGTGACAGAGACAGACTGGTAGTGGGTGTAGTGGGTGACAAACAGAATCAAAGACTTATAGACAACCATAGACAAAACGCCATTGTTTTGTAAAATAAGTACTAAGTAATATTACAAAGTTTGTACGCGTTAATCTACAGAACGGAAAAAATATTTTTGTATTAGGTAGTCCATTTCTTGAGTAATATCACGTTACACACGGATGAAAGAATATGGGAGCAGCTACTTTTAAAATAATAACAGACTTCATTCAAACATTCTTTATTAATTAATATTGTACTCCGACTCGGTACATTGAATTAATCTAATGATCAATTTATTATCGGTTACCGATGTAGTCGCGTCGCCAATGCTTCAATTGGGTATGGAAATATAAAACCGGCGATAACCATACAATGTACATAAAGAAAATATGCAGAGCCTTCTCCTGAAAAAAAATATATTATAAATACAAGTTTTGCTGTACAAAATCATGGCCATATTTTGGAAAACCAAACCCCTTGCCTATCCCCGATTCTTCAAAGGCCAACATCGCAGTAGCCTCATAGAAGACCGACGTGAAACAACGCTTGCGTTGTGTTTCGTCGTGTGAGTGAGGTTACTGGAGGCCCAAATACCCCTCCCCTCTTTCCCAATCCCTGAATCCCCAACAATCCTCAAATCCCTAATGCCAAAAGGCCAGTAGGCAATAGACTCACCCCCTAATACATGGCACTCATAACATAAATAGTGAAAAGTGGGTGTTATATTTTACAGTGGCATAATGTGCACCTCTGCCTACCCCTTCGGGGATAAAGGTGTGAAGTTATGTTATATTTATTCTGTGTGTCTTTACCATTCACGGGACTACAGGGTCCCGGTCATTTGGGAGGCATACGAGAGGCCGAAGCCAACTGCGCAGAGGTCCTTTAGACAACTTTAATATAATTTCCAACACCAAAGGCGTGTTACAACGCCTTTGGTGTTCCAGGTGTCCATGGGTGACGCCGATTGCTTACCATCAGGTGATCCGCCTGGTCGTTTACCGGTTTATCCCATAAAAAAAACGGTTGCTACTCACCCAGTACGAACATTTAACTCTTGGTGGAGTTGAAATTATATGGCCCACTTGAGCAAAATCACGCTTCAAAAGGTGAGAAGGCAATAAAGCCGATCGTAACAAGCCACGACAATTATTTATGATCATTTCGCAATAATTCGATAACGATATCCTCGAATAGAAATTGATCAGTGTCAAGTTGATTTTATTTTTTCAAAGTAACATTTCGTACCAATTCTCTTTTTAAATACATATGAAGGTATGATGTAATATTAATAGACCTCTTTTTGGACATCTATTTATCTACAATCTACGTTGTATCTAAATCTAACCAATCATAACTTTAAGTTGTATTATAATTTATTCACCTGCCTTCCTGTTCCTGCCTCGTTGGCCGAGTGGTCGCAAGTGCGACTGCGGCGGCAAGGATTCTCGGGTTCGATTCCCGAGTAGGGCAAAGTATTACAGGGTTTTAAAAACATCTCAGTAGTAGCACGGAGTCTGGAATTGTGCCCGGTATATGGCAATAGACTTACCCCCTATTACATGGCACTCATAACATAGTGAAAAGTGGGTGTTATATTGTACAGTGGCATAATGTGCCTACCCCTTTGGGGATAAAAGGTCTGAAGTTATGTTATATTTATTCTGTGTGTCTTTATCATTCACGGGACTACAGGGTCCCGGTCATTTGGGAGGCGTACGAGGGCCCGAAGCCAACTGCGCAGAGGTCCTTTAGATAACTTTAATATAATTGTAATGGATACACAAAGCGGCGAGTATCCCTGTATGCACTATGGAAATGCACCTAAGGACAGCCCCCGGTTAGTGTGGATAATGGAGAAAAAGGTAGGGCTATGAATATGTTGCTGTGGACCGGTAAATTGGAAACTATGGATGACTAGGGCACCTGCCGAAACAATATAATACACGTAAAAATGACAGGCGGAGACTCGCCAACTCACCGACCGGGCCCCGGGAATGGTTGCTAGATATAGCAACAGAGGGACAACGAGAATGTGAGTGGCTAAAGGGTTAAGAAACTACCACCGCTTTCTACTCAGATCATCAGATCCAGCCGAAACTTCTGCATCCCTGGTCCACTCGCGACTTACGAATAGTTTTTTACCCTCCGAGCAGGATCACTGCTCTCGCGACTCCACCAAAGAGTATAATACGTATAGGGGAAGACTCCACTCTGGACGGCCAATGAAGGCAAGCCAGAGGTGGGAGACCTAATCCTCGTCATCGTTTACTCTAGTCAGACAATTAAGGCAAGCCGGAGAATAAGGAACGGTGTCTTCTCCCTGGAGCACTCGGGATGATGGCAGCCCGCGGAGTCGCTAATGCCCTTCACCTCGCCTCAAGGTGCCCTGCGGGCAGCACTCGGCACGGTGGTAGTCCGCGGGGACGCTAATGCCTTATTTAAGTGTATTATTATTTTGTAAGTACATAATTAATTACAGAAGAATTACTATAACAAACTTGTAACTTTTTCGATTACGACTCTGTAATTTATATTGCGGAAAAAAAGAAAAATGAATCGCTTTGTCAAAGATTTATTTATAAAAAAATTGCATTGAATTTTTAACTTAACAATTGTGCACTACATAACTTAGTTACTTAAACTTAATAGACACACTCTGAGATTAAATTTTAGATTTATAATTAAATAAAGTTGGTATTAATACCGAACATTCAAATAAAACAAATGTATAAACTTTAGTAGTGGTATTATTTTTTTTTTTGTGATATTATGTTTAGATTTCGTATGTATAATGTAACTTTCGTATGTATAAAGTAATTTTAAATTTTGAAACTTTATATTATTTATGTAACTAATTTTGTCGTATTAGGCTAAGTACCTGTGAACTGTTAAATTAGCTGTTTTTTGATATAAATAAATAAATAAATATAGTTCAGAAGCCAATAGATCAACTTACTGTCTTCTTACTAAAAACTACATACTACATATATAGTCCCATTCTTATAGGCGGCGAGACTATTAGGAAACACAGAGCACATTTACATATTGCCCTACAAATGGCGACAATGTAGTGAAAGGTCCTATTTGTCCAATTACTATATTATATATACATTTTGCTGACAGAAATTGACTGTTGAATGGATTGATCTTATGAAATTCTGCCTTGGACAAATAGAATATAGCTACAGGCCCCAGCACATCGTAGTGTTCAGTTCCAACACACTAATGGCTAACATTTACGTTACCTAGGTATACCTACATTTATAAATAGATGCCTTACTGTTATATTATGGCGTGCGTACATGAGAAATACAACAAACGGACTAAGCCCTATTAGACCATAAAAATAACGATCAGTAACTAATACATTTTAAAAAGTAACGAGAATTTTCCAAACATTTTGTCATATGCATTAAAGTATCACATTACGAAATCACAGGTTGTTTAAATACAAACTAGAAAACTAGATAATACTCAATAAACAGCAAAAATATGAATTTATCCATTATTTTCTATAAATACAACACTTATTTCAATTCACATAGAGTTCACTTTTAAAACCAATAATTAAAATTAAATTGATTAGAATGAATAACATTTTTGTCAATTTTTAAGGCTACCAAGTGAAATTACAATATTTCATTTGGGTAACATCATATTTTTTGGACTGGTAGGTATATCCTAAAACCTATAATAAAAAAAATTACAACACTCAAGAGAACCCTTTGTTTTGCACTTCTACAGTCAAAAAGGGCATACGTATTCTTCACAAGTTATCTGATAAAAAATTAAATAAATCGTCTTATTAATCCTAATCAAATGATTTCGCTTTCGCACTAATAAACTTTTCCAGATTCTGCATGTGCCTATAAATATTAAAAGGAGTCGAATTTATAACAGCAGCACATTCTTTTATAACGAAATAGAAACTGCTTGGTGTATTCTCTTTCAATTCTTCATCGAACTTTTTATGCCAGTCTTTAGACCGCACCATAAAGTCCGCGTTATAATGCCTGAACCAATATTTATACTCTGTAAAATTCTTTTTATTTATCAAAGGTTCCAAGTCTTCTTCCCAAGCAATCCTAGCCTCTATCAATCTCTTTTCTTCTTGTAACGTCTTCAATGGTATTTCATCGTCGGAATCACTTTCATATTTGGTTTCGATAATCTTAATGTCTTCAGGTTTTCTGATCGAAAAGAAACCAGTTTTACCTTCTTCCAGTTTTTTATTAAGTATTTCATCAACTTTGGGATCTTCTAGTAAACTGTCTATGTCTGCCTCGTTTTCTTCTTCGATTTTCATTTTAAGATAAAGTTGATCTGTGTCATACTTTTTGTCGTCAAATTTTGGATCAACTTTTGGTAATAGTTCATTTATATTAATTTCTTCTTCGTCTTCAAATAGTTTTTTCTCCGTATGTTCGTCTATTACTTCTTCAATTGCACCAGTTTTATCTGCATTCTGTTCTTTATCAGTTTCTGTTTGTAGTAAACTTGATTGAGGGTTAACAATTGATTGGTTTTCTAAATTTTCTGTAATCATAGATGTTGTTGCCGACAATGCAGCAACATTTGTAGTGTTTAGTAATGCAGGTTGAGTCATATTTGCAGTTTCGTTTGGATTTGGCTCCAATCCACCAATAATTGAACTGTTTCGAACAGCCATGCTAACTTCGTTCTGCAACTTATTGAATAAATCTAAGCGATGATGATCGTAGTATCCAGTGACAAGTTCAGCCACTTTGTGTTTATTTTCCGCAGCACTTGTTCTAGTTCGTTTTCTTGGTTCTCTGTTTACATCTTCATCACGAATCACCTCAGCCCTTCTTTTTCTAGGCTCCCTATTTTTATACTCATTGGGTACAGGAATTTTATATTTTTTACAAGCCATCAAGACCAATTCTTTAATTGTTTGTTCGCTATCAAAAGTTTCGGGGTTAAATACTGGTATCATGTTCTCATTGTCAGACATGTCAGTTATGCTCGCGCGATCATCGTTGATTGATTCGTTATTTGGAGCTAGTAGATCTTCATCATTAGCTTGTTCCAATTCATCCTTTAAATCAAGTTCTTCAAATGAATCGTCGAATATATTTTTTTCATTATCTTCTTCTGTTATTATGAATTCTCTAGTACCTTTCTCTCGTTCTGTCATACTTACATCGGTGACATCGTCTCTATTTTCAGTTTCATTGGCGATTTCTTTATCATTTGTGGGGTTTTCTGAGTCATAACCATGATCACTCTCTTTGTCAGTACTTGAGTTTTGTACATCTTCGCAATGTACATGTTCTATTGTTGGAGGTTTAGTTTTCATCCAGTTTTTATTTTCACAATTCTTAACATAAACCATTTGAGTTTTACTTCTTTTCATAACAATTGTACCCATAATTATTTTATTACTTGTCACCTTTCTATTTTCACTGACTCCTTTGATGATGTTTTCTGCATTCTCATCTAACAGTTCTAAATGTTCGCAGGCATATTTGAGAGAATACTGAGTAAAATCTTCACTGAGAAGATACCTCAACTCAGGATCCTGAGTATGTTCAATTATAATATCTGTATAGTCATAAGTAGGGGTTATTGATGGTGAAAACCGTTGTTTTGGGATAACTCTACCTTCGTCATTTTCAGGTATTTTGTTAATTAAATCCATTGCAGTCTCGTCTTGTAAATCTTTAGCTTTTTGTGGTCTATCATTTGAGTGTTCAATGTAGACTTGATCATCAATGTCTAAACAATACTGCTCTGCCATGTACAGACAACATTTGCTTAGAGTAATCTTCCTAAATTGTAAATAATTACACCATTCTCTGAATGAAAATAATCTTTTACTTGGTTCAGAATACTTACCGTTTCTGTGTGACTTTTGTAGATCTCTGTCTACATTTATTTTATCAACTGCATCCGATAGTCTTTCCTCATAATCACCATCTAGACCGAAGCACAGTTTTATTGCAACTAGAACGTAGGACATCACCACACCCTCATAATCAGGCACACTGCAAAGGCGTTCCTTAGACTTGTCGCTGACATCAAGGAAGTCGCATTGGTGAAAACGCATCAAGGAGTATATCAGTGGCTTTATATCATTAGGGAGGCAAAGTTCCAGTAAGATATTGTCAATAATCTTTCTCAGATTTGGAACCTTTGGTCTTCCGAGATCTAGTTTCCGCAGTAAAGACATAGTTAATGCTCGTAAGAAATGCACATTAACAATTTTACTGTGTATGAAGTTAGTCCAGAGTTTTTCCAAGGTTTTCACATGAATATCGTCAGGCACAAATCTTTGTATGTTGGAGAAATTTAAATGTTTCTCCTTGATGAACCTGTATAAATGAGACAGTTGTATGTCGCTCTCGTCTAAGTTTAGTGCTAAGTATAACATGGCTAGAATAACTCCTTTTGACAAGAATCTTATATCTCTCCGAGATCCGTCCACAATGTTGTTTAAGAGTTTTGATTTTACCGGTTTACCTTCTTCATTTACTTCTTCGTGTTCTCCTTCATCATCATCATCAACTGTGTTGTTACTATTCTCTTCTAACATAATGCTTGTTAGGTTTATGTGATCGTTTCCTTCTTGTAATGTTTTTGCTAATCTGTAAAAAGTTATCTGTAATGAGTATAACACACTATAACAGTTTACAAGTCATTATACCTTACTGTCCCGTGGGCCGAGTGATTACAAGTGCGACTGCCGGGGGTCTCGAGTTTGATTGCAAAGTCGGGCAAAGTCAAAATGGGTCCTTTAAAGAATTCTCAGTAGTAGCACGGAGTCTGGAAATGTGCTTGGTGTATGGCAATAATAGGCTCACCCCTATTACATGGGACTCATAACATAAAAAAGTGGATGTTTGATGACATTGTAGTGGCAATAAGGCGATGCTATGTTGTTATATGCATAAATTCAATGGTAAACAATTTAAAAAGTTATTGAATCAATTTTTGTGGCAACTTTGTACACTATTCCATTAAGGCACTAGTAATACAAGGTTTTTTTTAGCTTTGGTTCAATATTCTGCAGATTTCTAACAATTGAAATCCTAATTAAAAGTATCCTTAACCAACGATCATGCAGGAAAAGATTGACGACTGTTGATGAAGCGAAAGAGGTATGTAGGAATCGTAGCAATTGGCATTCCATAGTCTCTGCCTACCCCTATGGCAAACAAGTGTGAAGTTATGTATGTATGTGTGAAATTCTTCAAACAGACCGAACATTGACCCAAAGACATCAGAATCATCAGCTCTGCAGTAAAATAACTAGCAGAGCCCACTCTAACAAGAAATAACCAGTAAAACTTTATAGAAAGATCTTACTCACCCTATATCATCTTTATTCTGATATTTCTTAACATATCTCGTCCAGATCCAAAGCAGTTTTGATTTGAATGAAGGTTTCGCTCCAGCAGCCACCAGCTCGTCGGCCAGCCCTAATATTATGAAGTTATATGCATGCCATTTGTACCATTCTGGACTCACTGTGAACATTATACAAGTGTTAGAGGAAAATCCTTCTTAGAGATAAATCCTTCTTAGAGGAAAATCCTTTTCAGCCTAGTACATTTGAGCGATGACGTCAGCTGGAAGGGATGACAGGAGTGACACGAGAACGGAGCAGTGCTATGCAGCCGTTCACTTTTTTTTGCGTTGGCGCTCGGACAAGACGGTTGTGTGGTTGTACTCTCAAGAGTCTCAAGGGCTATTCTGCAACATTAGTGACCGCTAGTCTGAATTATAGTTATTTGTAGTTTTGTTACTTTTAGTTCTCGTTTAGGTTATTTTGTTTATGTTAAGATTGTAATTAAAGAGAGGTTAGGACTGTAAGTGTGTTTCTTTTTAAAAAAACTATATTTGATAGACGTTTCTAAGACAAGTAATTTTTACTAATTGTAACTTTTTATGAAGGTTTGTTAATGGGGCAATAGCAGGCATACAGGTTTCGTGGAAAATACGTCCAATTGTTTTCTTATGAAATTGGAAGTATTCTTTTAAGTAGGTACTCTGGATCTTTTTCCATTTTATGTTTACATTAAAGTAAATGTAATGTAACACTGATATTGCTGATTATAACTACAAAAGGTCCATTTAAATAATAGAAAAAAGGTAACTAATTAATAGTTGTCTACTGTTGTGCAATAAAAACAACTTTTTACGTCTTAACCTCTTAAATCAAACAAAATTTCAGTTATAAAGCAAACCACTTACTTTCAATCTTGGTATCGTGTATTTTAATAATCTTTCTTCGTGTTGATAGTGCAAAAGTGCCATCTCCCAAAGATTTGTGATCAATCACAGTTTCTCTTACATTTGTGTTTTGTGTATCGCATTCCACACAATAATAGAATCCATCAATTAATTTCAGATCTGTTCCACCACACACTTCACAGGGCTCAGAAGCCATTTCAAACGTTAAAAATATAACCAACTTAATAAATAAATTAATAAATTAATCACCATGTGATTTTGTGATTGTTTATCTCATTTCCCGCCTTATCACTAGAGATGAACAATCTTGTGAACATATCGGTTTATTGACAGTTATCAATGTAAACAATCGAAAATAATATCAACTTAAAGCTTAAGTTAGAGACACAATGCAATAGAAAAAATGTTGAGATTTAAGTAATCTTATAGTAAAAGATTAGTCTATTGACAACGGAGTGCTGGCCATTTCACTCTCCTTGATACTTTGCTATTGAGACTAAAAGTTATCAAAAACCGGAAACGTTGATCGAATTTTAGCTCTGCGGGCGGACATGTCTATGGCAGGGTCACCCGTACATTAATCTGTCACCTGTCAAAAGTAAATGTCAAAAATTTGCCAAATTAAAAGTATTTTCAAACAATTCAAAAATAATATTAATTGTATATAAACCAAAAAAAAACGATTATTTTAATTTATTTACTAAACTTGAAATTATTCCATAGCTAAGTTTATTTTGTATTTTTTTATTTTTTGTTGCATGCATTGATTGACGTGTAAATTGTTACCAGAGCCAAATAACTTCTACCAAACTAGAAGTTTTATTTTCGAACACTTAATTTTTCAAACCTTTAGAATTTCGTAAGTATTAAATCCTAATTGAATTTAGTTAGTAAAATATTAAGAGTAATGCGCGTATTTATAATAAGTTATGGACTGACCTTTATCACAATTATTGACAATGTATCTTCTTGAATATAAGTGTAGAAAAACCATGTATATTGCTTTGGCACGAATTGGCCTACTTGGTGTAATTGGTACCACGCCCTCATAGAACATTAGTATGAAACAGCATTACGTTGTATTTCACCATCGTGTGAGCTTACCAATTTTCCAGATGCTCAATTTCCCAACTCAATCTCCTTAAATCCTTAGTACTAACCAAAAGGCCGACCACAGAGAAGTAACTCTTTTGGAGTTGGTGGGTGTTCACGAGTGAACGTTCACGGAAATCTTAGATCCATACCATCTTTTTCTACTTTAAGGTGACCCGTCAGCTCGTTTGCCATCCTTACCTACTATAAAAGAATCCGTTGTAAAAATGAATTTATTATTTGTTTAGGTAATCACCAACAGTTATAAAGTATTATAATTCAAATGATTTGATTGTTTTACTTTTGAGTGCACTATGTTACATATAATAGGCGTATTTGTTTAAGGTGGGAAAATCATCGAATGACTTCTCCCGCCTAGGTGAGGCGGAAGGGAGTGTTAGACTCTTACTGACTAAAAACCACCTCGTTCTTACTTCGAGCCGGAGCCCCGGCAACCCGTTAACTCCTCAGAGGCTCCGTATCGGCGTCAGTCCTATTGGGCCCCACCTGTGGTGATATATAATAGGAGTAAAGATAAAATTCAAGAATAGTGTACTTTAAAGCGAGTTCACTGAAACGGAAAGTAAAATATCAATTGTCTTATTTTTGAGGTTATAGATAAAATATTACTAAATTACAAATTTTTTCAACATACGGTAGTTTTTTTAAAACACCCGTGTGGCAACTGGAAAGCAGAAACACTGTAAAAGTGGTAATTTTCGTAGCGTATTGCTGTCCGTCATCAATAACTCGCGTAATTCGGGCGTGTGCTCCATTTACGCATTTATTGAAAGAAACTAACCGTTTTACATCGCCGCCGACGCACACGAGCGTTCGCGCTGTCGTTTGCCGCTCAAAGACTGTCATGATATCGTCCTTTCCACCACACCCTTGGGTATCGTGAATCGTAGTCGTGAACTGTTGCGTGTTTATTGCCGACGGCAGCGTTTGAGGCTGTTGTACGGGTTGGATTACGTTAATCTGTGTACGGTGTAGTGTTATGTGTATAAGTTAGCGGTTGCATAGTTGTATTGGAGAGCGCGGGACACATTGATGGGCAGAGTCGTGTGCGGCTGGCAGGCGGCAGACGAGCCGCAGCGGCGGGTGTTTGCTTCCTGGAGGGTCTACGATAAAATCAGCCACACTGGAACTGATGGAATTAGAGAATATCGTCGCGAACACTGTTTATTTGAAAGCCAGAGAGGGTAGGTACCTGATACATTACTATTAAGCACTTGTTTTTATTATCATAACTTACATATATTGACGACTGTAGAACAACAATAATTGGACATTTTTGTCTTGAGTTGATTCTTATAAGAGTCTCATTCCAACAGTTTGTTCATAGGATAGTTTTGTTTCAGATAAGAACTTTTTGACAAACTTTGAAACATAACAATACTTTTGTTACTTTTTCGTAACACTCTGTATTTTAGGTGTTAAGATTAGAAAGAAGATTATCGTTTGAATTTTACTATTAAAAATAGCATCTCTCACTTTGATATTTATTCAAGCAAAACAGCATGCATAGAAAAGTTTTTGTTAGCATTTTCTCTCCAAGATTCTTATTCAAATGTCCACCTTATCAATAAATTAATAAAGTGAATTATTGAATGCAAATTGTTGTTTACGGTACAAGCATTGATTTGAAATTGTAATATTAGTGTCTGTTGCTTGAGACTAGCTCGTGTGTAACTTAGTTGCTAAGAACATTTCCGATACTACTATATTTACACCTCATTGTTATTAATTATTTGATTATTACTATTACGATAACTGCGATTGAGGAAATGGAACATTCGTTTGATAATTTGTAATTGTTTGCGCTCATAACTTATTAAATTATCGATAAGAATGTTTATTATTATTCAAAATACGGTTACAAGAGCTTGTTGATTTCTGTTTTTCAAGTAAATTTTTTCTTCTTGCGTCACATGTTACGTCTTAGCATTTAAAAGTGCATTGTTCGTCTACGTACTTGAATTTAATAATTTATCTTAATTTTTGTTCATGTCTAAAATATAGGAATTGTGGAAATAGCAAAGTTTAACATTCAGCAAGATTTTAATATCAACAAGTTGGTTTTTAAATATGCGAAAGACAAGTTCTATAAACCTGTATCGTATTATTAGCTGATGAGTACGTATGTTGAGTGTAGTATGTTGGTACAAAATATTATAATTATGCTTATTAGTCTGTTATTATAGATGTCTCGTGATTGGCTGGTTATAAGGACATGTTTAGTTGTTTTGTGTGGTTCTCAGCAATATTATGTAGGTTTTTATCTAGGTGTGATGTGTGTTCTACAGAAGAAAAATGGTAGATAAAAGTTGTTTTTGACTCTATCCTCTTTCTCCCAGACTTCGAGCACATTGCTGTATAGATAAAAGTAGCCTATATGTTATTCTTGACTATCCCTGTTCTTAAGTTCATCCCAATCCCTTTAGCTGTATTGACATGATTGAGTAAGAAACATAGACACAAACTTACAAAGTTTTGCATTTATAATATTAACTAATAAAATTACTTTTGGAAGTCAGGCAATAATGACGACTCTTAATCCTTTGAGTATGTCATTATAGACATAATTAAACAACAATAGGTTGCGGTCACCGGTGTCCTCGCGGTGTTTGACAGTTTAAACTCAAAGGGTTAATCCAGCCGCAAGAGAAAATCGACTATCTGAGATCACACTAGTACTTATGACACCTAAGAAAGTCAGGACTCACAATAAGTATTTTTTTAAATTAAATAGGCACGACACATTTTTCGGCGGCACGTACGGCTTTTCAACCTAGTAAACATCTATCGCTGTGTGAATCTTGAACCCCAAAATCGGTGGAAGTAAGGCATAATGAATTTTATAGAAGAGATGTTAAACAAGTTTATGTCCCACAAGAAAACAAAAATCAAAGACACTTCTAGTATGGAAATAAAGTTAAAATGGTCTTTATGATTAAGGTACTAAAACAGTAACCTAAGTCACCAATATTTCATGTATTATTTACATAATGTATAACGAATAGTATTTGCTTAGTTTATTAATTATTTATGTAATTAAATATGAAATTGGGATATCAATTAAAATGATAACATTTTGTCAATTCATATGTGTTAGGTAGGTACATATGTATAATTTTATTGTATGAGATACTTACTGTAGTAATTTTACCAACAAATATGGATGTTTATATTACAACTTTCGTGAGACATACTAAATTAATTATTATGTTTTTCGGCTTTTGCACATTATATTAGGCTTAATCACATTAATAAATATATGATAAGGAACTCTCAAAGTTAACTTTCAGCCTCAAGCATGGCTTGAAACTAGTCGCGTTTCTCTTCAAATAATTACGTGACTAAGGCGAAAAAACATAATAATTAAATATGGATATAATCAATCACAAAATGAGGCTTAAATAAAACGGTTATTGTTGAATATTTTTAGTATTTAGTTATGGAAGATATAGGAGGAAATTTAACTGCACCATGCACCCAGTAGTGGATGAACTTGAGCTAACTGTTACTGTTTTTAAATAATCGGTAGTTACCAAAAATACCACCGTCGTTCAACGATAAAAAAAACATATCCTTTAGAATTCCATACAAAAAATCGCTTTAGTATTTGCAATTTCGATAAAAATACTAAACGCTCGTCGTAGCCTATTTCTCGAGGAACGTAATGGGCTATCTAACATTACGATCACTTAGGAAGAGTGTACAGGCTGGATAAAAAACAAAACCTTTTCATAAAACCGCTAGCCTTCGTTCATAGCTGCCTATAACATGGGCATTCATACAAGAAATGAATAGCATCGTAACACAAATCAATGAAGCTATAATTAGTTTCCTTCAGCTACAACGGGCGTCTAAAATGTTTAATTAAACATTCATCCTGTTTTTAAACAATCCCACATTATTAGCTAGACATTGTATGTTATTTTATGTTACGTACGTTTTACCTGCAAGTGGCACACCCACCTGTCTGCGTAGGTATTTTTGTTCATAAAGTAATGATATAAAATCTAAATTGAATACTGTATGATGAGGAAAATGCCTATAGATCACGCTGACTGTTAACAGGTTAAAAAACCTGAGTAATAAATTATTTAGAAAAAGGTGGTCATCTATGATTTAAGACGTAAAAACGTTGAAATTAATCGTTCCTCCTAAGATGATGATGTGATCCGAAGCTATAGAAAATCTGTACTGCGGATATAAAGACTATTTCTACGGCCAACGGCCAGTATAAATCGAATAATAGAATGTAATATGAATCGATATCTCTCAAATTTGTTTCGTCAAATTCTTACGTAAAATAAATATTTATCAGCTAACACGTGAATAGTCATGTTACCGATATCGTTGTAACCTAGCAACAAGATTATGGACTTCAAGGGCCTCGAACATCCGAGGAGACGTGTGGAGAATTTCACACGAACGAATTATGTTTATACCCTTATTTCCTGGTTCGAGTTTGACCGGAAAGCTATCCGTTCAATAAGACTGCGATGCCAGATTTGTACGGTGAACAAGTTGAGAAACTCGCGCGTTCTTCCTGCTCTATGCTCCAAATTAAAGGAAAAACCACCGATTCGGAAGAATGCTCATCTAAACGACTGTTCTAAGCGTCCAGGATATTAAGACTAGCTCATTTCGTCGCTCGTCATCAAAACGTTTACCAGATTATCCATCCATAAAAGATTCGCAGATTATCCATGAACACCGGTAACTCGCATGATTTGCCCATTCTGTTTAGTGAATGAATGAAATGAACACTACCTACTGTGAACATTGCCAGTTAAGGAAGTCAGTATACAGAATTTGCATGAAGTGACTTCATTACGTGATTATCTAGGCGTACAATGTATAGCAACAAACTTTAGGTGTCTACAATGTGGTGTACCAAAACGATAACAAATTAATGACTATGGTCCTTATGTTGTAATTAAAACCAAATATGTTTATTCAGAGTGAGGCACGCTACACCCTTGTAATTGTACCTACCATCTATCTATTGCGGAAGAGCAAACACTGTCGACAGGGGTAGTATCGACCTTTCTAACTTGGAACAACAGACCCATTGAACGTAGAAATGCCGGTAAAGGTTAAGTTAAGGGTGAACCTACGACGTTGCTATCTAATTGTCCTTTAATACGAGTACTTCACGGTCAAGGACATCAGATAAGTAAGATTTTTTCCGAAATACACCTTAGCAGTGCTATTTTAGACACAAAATAAGAGGCATAAATGAACGAATCACGCATATTTAATTAGGGTTTCCAGTTTTTCACGTCGCTTCATGTGCTGCTATCGCAAGGTCCTTAGATCAACAAACTATTTGGCAATGTCAACCAATTGGTGAGTTTTTAACAGCTACAACAATTAACACTTGCGGCCTAAGTGGCAATAACTGTCTATCAGAATCTATTACCATAATTCTTCCTTGTAACCGATATTGAACGCATCTACATAAATATGAGGAAAAATATCACAATAAATTAAAATTGCTTACGTACATTACAAGCTGACCATCTCATTAGACAAACTTGCACGCGACTGTAAGTTTGTAAATAATACGTTGCCCTTGAAATATGCACTAGCACTAGGTTCGATTTTTAGAGTGGGTCGTTGCGTAGGAGTGGCCGTGAACAGGGCCGCGCCGACCCCCGGCAGCGCCTGTGTGCGGAATCTATGGAGCGCCTCTTTTTTACCGACTTCAAAAAAGCAGGAGGTACTATGTTCGGCTGATTGATTTTTTTTTGTTTGTTCGCCATTTGTACACCGATTTCCAAAAATCTTATTTTGTTTGGTATACTCTCGAGGTGGTCCCATTTCCATGAGCTCAGAACCTGATGATGGGATCCTAGGGAAACCGAGGGGAACTTTCGAAAACTGTAGGGGCGAGTAATTGCGTCTATAATATTTTTCAATTAGGATTTTTAAACACTACAATTTGATAACGGTCTGGAGTCGACCTGATGATGGAGCCGACAGACAGTCGAGAGATCTCCTCAGCTGTTTTTATTAACTACCTTGTGTTTGGGCTTAGTTACTTTGTATTGGTGAGGACTTTACACCCATATAGAGTGAGACTGTCATTAAGGGTCTGATGATGAAGAAGTGTAATTGTTAAGGGAACTCCTCAACGGTATACAGTAACTGCTTTGTATTTGGGCTTGATTAATTTGTATTGATTACAACTTTACCCCTATGTAGATTATAAGTGACAAACAAGCTTTATACTGAAAATAATAGAAAAAAACCTGCGTTTAAAAAACCGACTTCAAAAAACCAAAATCTAATAACAAACAAAAAGTCAAAACTAAAAAGCAAACTCTCAATCGAGCCCAAACTCAAGGTAGTTACTGTATACCGTTGAGGAGTTCCCTTAACAATTACGCTTCTTCATCATCAGACCCTTAATGACAGCCCCACTCTATCTAGGTGTAAAGTCCTCATCAATACAAATTAATCAAGCCCAAACACAAGGTAGTTAATATAAACGCTGAGGAGTTCCCTCGACTAACTGTCGACTCCATCATCAGGTCGACTCCAGACCCTTATCAAATTGTAGTGTTTAAAATTCGTAATTGAAAAACATAATAGACGCATTACTCTCCCATAGAATTTTCGAAAGTTCCCCTCGGTTTCCCTAGGATCCCATCATCAGATCCTGACTTCATGGAAATGGGACCATCTCGGGAGTATACCCTTTCAAACAAAACAAAAATTTTCGAAATCGGTCCACAAACGGCGGAGTACTGCGCGAACAAAAAAAAAACAATCAGCCGAACATAGTACCTCCTCCTTTTTTTGAAGTCGGTAAAAAGTCCAATGCGCACCTTCACACACTTTCAATCAAATTATTGTTCAATTGTTTTGTTTTGGCTTGACTCTCTCGTTCGTTGAAATCGGGGAATCCCTGTGACCCTACTCCTCTTGCCTCGCACGCATCGCATCGGGTTGCGTTCACAAACTCACTCATACTTACTCATACAAAGTCGGCGCCTTTACAATTCAATATAACTAGTACCTACTTTATCTGTGTTTCAAAAGAACTGCCGCTGTTTTAACGTTGATCTCGTCACTCGTAAGTAATGTAAACTAAAACCCTAAGCGTAAAATGAAACCATAAACGTGAATAATAATAAACATAAATATTGAGAGACTTGTTTAATTAGCGTAATATAAGTTTTGTTGTATACAAGGCCTATGTTGCGCCTATTGTACCTACTTTCTTATCGATACTCTACTACAAAAAATATAATAATTTAGGCAACAAAAATAATTTAAGTAGAGGTGGTGGCGCGACGCGGCGCCCCTATTGTCTTGGCGCCTGTGTGCGCCGCACACTTCGCACACAGGGGCGGCTCGGCCCTGGCCGTGAATCCGAATGTAATCGAGTATTGCTTGCTCGATACAGAGTAGTGACCCCCGGGGCTTGGATGTTACGATAATCTAGATTAAGTGTCGACTGACTAGATTGACGTTGTATTTTCGGCAGTAGGGAGTTAGGGACTAGAAGATTTTGTTGACTTCTGACTGTCAGGAAATGGACTTTGTACTTCGATTAAAATAATTTTGTTACCTCTCTTGAGGTTATTAGCCTAAAAGCGGTTTATCGTACAGACTACTAAAAGATACGAACCCGTTTTATCCAAAATTGGAGGATAAAAGAGAAGTTTGAAATGTAAGTGGATTGCAAACCTCCATTACTCTAAACATATTCCTTTATACACTCAGGATATAACCAATAATGCATATGTTGGCAATATTCAATAAAAACTCCGTACAATCCCCCTTCGCCGGATATTTTTCCGTTCTCCTGAAAATGTAGTCCAATATTTTTCTTCCGTTAGATTTCCTGGACGGAGCGGTGAAGTAGACGGTCGACCGGAACTTAGGAGATTGCTTTCCAATTACAATTTTATGTTTAAAAAGTATTTTAAAGGTTCACAAAGGAAATTCCTGTAGTTTTCTTTACAACCTTTTTTGTTACGGATACTTTTAAGTTAAGTACAGTAAAAAGAACCAAAGAGGTTATTTTATTTACGAATTCAAACTGAGGTAATAATCACAAATCTATTTGGTACCTTAATATAAACAAACCTAACCTTGATTTCAGTAAAAGAGGTGATTGTTTTCAATTCAATCAAGCTAATCGTCAACCGGTGCGGCCCGGTTTCGGTTGAAAGTGACAACGAGTGCTTTCAACAAAGTGTTATTCTGTATACAGATTATGAAATTCTTAGTAAAAGCATGGAATCCAGATTTGCCTACAGATTTACCTCGCTCAGCTCTTATTAGATTGAAGCTCCTATTACGGGAAATCTGCAACGATGCCATTGTGATTTGCGTTGTCCTCATAATGGATTACAGGGGGAGTGACCAATTACCAGCCGGGTCGGGTTTGATTGCCATTCAATTAAATTGGGGCTCTCCCTATTTGACTCATAATCAAATATATCAGGTAAACTTTGACCGTGTTAGGAACTGTATTTAAGTAGTATGGTGTGGTTTTAATTAACTGTCTACTTTGTATGCCTAATTGCGTGCGAATATGGTGGATAATCACTCTGTATTGGGTTTCCGGCAATGTGGTGTTGATAGTTGTATCCTGCTGCTATCGCTCCGGGCATGCATGTGTTTTGTTATGTTCATTGACGTAATAAATGTCAATAGTATCCGCTTTTAGAGCTTCGAAAACGTTTAATTGCGATTTTAATATTTATTCCATTATTCACATTTCGGACCACAATTCATTTTTGTATGAAGTCAGGAAATTAGAATTTGAAATTTGAAAATCTTTGCTTTTGCAATCAAAAGATAAAAGGCGATGTTTGTAACGCCAAAGTCTTGGAAGATACAAAGGAGGTCAAAGGATTTGTTTTAGCAAAACACAAACTATCTTCACTGTTTATATTATCCCTTGTCCCTAAACTAACAGAATTACAAAGAGGATCCGTAAGCCGTGAAACCTTTGCTTACAAATAACACTTCCATGTAACCACTATACTGCCTTAAGGAAAGTAATTTCTGATCGTGGAAGACTCCCGAAAGTCTTGAGAATAACTTTGGTCAGCATATCGATATCTGGTTGTGTGCCAAAGTTTTCTCATTTATTTGCTGTACAGAGGTCTTAAGGTGTAATTTCCTTTGATATTTTGGGAAAATTGAAGTAGACTTTTTGTCGTTAGTTGGAACTCGATGGCAAGGAAGTCAAGAGATATAATGGTACCTACTTAGCTTTATTTACGCTTGTGACTAAACCCACATGGAATTAGGAAGGTGGCTCTTTATATCCCGATCTTGTAGAGATAGCAAGAAAGGGTTTTTTAATGCGCCATTAGAATCCTCTGATCGTGCATTTTTTAAATTCCAGTGGTTTCAAAGCTTTCTTGGTACAAACGAACGTGTTTTTTCTCTATAACTTGGTGATTTTGATGACATTGAACCGATTAGACCATGTAACCTTTTGTCTGAAATCAGTATATTTATTTTGGACTGAATACTGATTGGAATCTTATCTGGAATTCCCGATGTCAATAGTCCATGCCAGTTCAGTATAATAAAAAAACCAGAGGTTTTACATGTCACCTTGATGGATTTTCCCAATCATTTCGAATTTGAAGTAAGTTCAGAGGTTACAGAGTTTTACATACATGGGAATTAACGCAAATGGTCTAACTAAATACTGTAAAGATAAGCAAAACTACTTAAACTTTGTCTATAGAAATTTGCTTGAAGAATTTCCAATAACTTTCTAAAGTAAGTACTAAACAAGTAAGATTATAGCAACCGAACAATTATATTTCGGTTTTCAACAAAACGTTACTTCTTTTCAGAGACTAACTGCATTACTTACGAAATGGGATAAACGTTTTACAACGAGTTGTCATTACTTAAAGTGCACTCAGTAAGTATTCGAAAAGGCCCAAGTAACTCTTTACTCGTAAAATTCTAGATATTAATGCTGTAGACTGGATATTATTGCCAAGTTTGCAACTGGCTTTACTGGATAACAAAATGGAGTCTTGAATACTTCACTTCATTTTAAGCTGGTGAACAGTTATTCTACAGGTTCAGGGTAAATGATAAAGGTATTACATAGCTATGTGCCATTTTGTGATGTTTTCATAATGATGCATTGGTACCTTTATTATCCTTATGAGGATGACGAATGAAGTTCGTTATTTATTTCACTATTTTATTTTTAAGGTTACCTTAATACCTTGTGAGAAACTAAATAGGTTATTATCTTGCAGTTTTGTTGCTAGGGAGTCTGTCTACTGCTTTTTTGTCATTTCAGTCATCACATGTTTGGCTTTCCCCTATATGGCGTTGTCCTTTGTAGATTGATCACGCATTTCTTTAGAGTGTCCTAATTTTAGCTTGCAAATAACCTCGCAAGCACAGGGTTTAATCTTGTCGTGCGATGAAATCGTATCGTTCAATCGTACTACGGTTAGCTAAATAGGATGTCGCCTATTCCTAAGTCTTATTGTTAGGTAAGTAAGAAATACACTGTAATTTCAAGCGATATCCATGACACGAACTTATAAAAAATAAAATCGAATGAGTCCCTGTTTCAATATACAACGATTTGAGATCATCACTTAGATATTCCACTGGCACTGTGCGATAGAAAATATTCGCCCAAAACTTTTTCTTAGTGGAACCAACTTCAAAGAATCCGAACTTTGCCAGGGTTGGCAACTAACAAGAATAATACATAAAGTAATCCCTGTAGGGGTGTCCAAAGGTGTATAGTTACCGTCATTAATTTGGTGATAACGGTCAGGTGCCGTGAAAGAGGAGACGAGCCTTGAAACTTAGATTTTTAGACAATATTTACGAGCTTTTACTGAAGTTTTCGCAAGTAAATCATTATTAATAATGTTTTAGTTATTAGGGTAAAATATGGGTTATTTGCTATACCGAAAGATCGTAATGTTCTGTGTTATTGTGCACATTCTTTCTAGGAGATTTTTTATAGATATACTTTATGGCATGGCTAATGGGACCTAAGCAACTATTGATTTAAATAAAACGAAACTAAAGTTTATTGTTCAAAATACAGTCGATTATCAATTCTCAATACAATAAACACAAATTCCGCTACATTAATTTACAACTACCCAACAAAAACAATTCTATTTGACTTGCCATTGTTATTCAATTGTTATTCGAAATTGTCAGAATACCCTCTCAATACGGCGCGCGTAGCAACCACTAAAGACGTACTGTGGGTACTTACATTACTGGCTCTAATTTCCCAGGAGCTTTCAAGTTTTCCTAGAATTTCATTAAGAACTAGCTCATGCCCTACCCGTTTGAGCTGCATGAACGAAATATGGTCGTTGCAAATTACATTTTTATTGCTCCTCTCGTAAAACTAAGATTAAAAGAGATATTAGCGATTAAATGCGAGGTTTTATTTAGCATAAAGTTTTAATGAACCATGAATATTATATTTTATATTCTATTCTTAATTTTTCTTTGTTAAGACACAAGTTTTAGACTCATTTTTGAACCTTACTAATATTTGCATCGAAGTTGAGAGTTAAGAGTTATTACGTCCATAGAAGATAATCATTAGTATGATTTCTTTCTACTTCATCATGAGTGCGTATCCAGATTAGTTTCTTATATTTAGGCTGGTTTCTTATGCTGCTAAATCATATAAATTTACGTGGAGCAGCTGTCGTCTGCTCCATCTAATAAACAGGAATAAGTCTGTAAAAATTACTGTCATTAAAGCGACGCTGGCTCCTAATACGATTGAAGAAATAGCAAAAATGTTACTTAAGATGAAATATCTTTACAATACAAAGGAAGCTTGAAGAGAAAAATATGGTTTTCTATAAATATCTGTCATTGTAATCTATCTTATGATATTAACGTGCACTCCGCTGCTCTTTATGCCCACGCCTGTAAAAGGTTTCACATTTTTTTGATCAATGACATGCCGAATTTTTGCTTCAA